TGCATATGGGAGAAACAACAACCTTCTCATCAAGGCCTTTCACTGCATGCACAGACTCGAACGCCGCTAGTATCTTATTCTTCATTCCTTAACCAGATTCTGGAGCCGTTCGATATTGGCTATCTAGTTGACTCTTTAGAGTCCATAGATGTTAAGTGTTCATTCTGATCTGACTGCAAGGTGGTGGAGACTATGTTCTATGCTGTCCTCAGGGACAGTGGTTTCTTTACCCCAGCAGGTACCAATCAATATTGAGATTGATGTGCTGGGGCCTGTCTGGTTCTACTCTCAAAGTCCTTAGATATTATTATATGTGTTGATATTCCTGTGTATTTAGAAATGTTGTTACCCTGTGCAATATCTACAAAGACTGTAGATGCAGCAAGACATCACTCAAGAGGTAGACACAGACTTAAAACCACTTCAAACACCCAGATTGAGACCTCCACACAGGCAGCCGAAATGAAAGAAAAACGCTAATGTCATTTAGAGTGTCAAGAACGTTAATGTGCTAGCTCAGAAGTGTCAATGTCTTCAGAGCGAGCTTTTCTAGACCTACAAATTCCTTGTGACTTTCAAGAGGTAGTCATTTGATGTATCAAAGGGAAAACACTGCTGCTGAATTTTAAAGCAGTGCGTGGTGCGTACTATACAGAAGACAGTATTCAACAATTGTCCCTGCAAAAACACCACCCAAACACACTGGCAGGCACACTGTAGGCATATATGTCTATGCAGACAACTCACATTTATAGTAGCCTGAAGAAGACATCTCTTACATGACAGGTTATAGAAAAGCGCAGAAGCGCTGAACTATCTGTTCAGACCCCAGTCCTTCCTACCTACAGGTTATGGAAAATTGGCTCTTTTAGTACACTACATTACCAAAAGTGTGTGGACACCTGCTTTTTGAACATCTCATTCCACAATCATGGGCATTAATATGGAGTTGGTCCCCCCTTTGCTGCTATAACAGCCTCCACTCTTCTGGGAAGGCTTTCCACTAGATGTTGGAACATTGCTGCGGGGACTTGCTTCCATTCAGCCACAAGAGCATTAGTGAGGTCGGGCACTGATGTTGGGTGATTAGGCCTGGCTCGCAGTCAGCGTTCCAATTAATCCCAAAGGTGTTAGATGGGGTTGAGGTCAGGGCTCTGTGCAGGCCAGTCAAGTTCTTCCACACCGATCTCGACAAACCATTTCAGTATGGAACTCGCTTTGTGCACGGGGGCATTGTCATGCTGAAACAGGAAAGGGCCTTCCCCACAAAGTTGGAAGCACAGAATCGTCTAGGATGTCATTTTTTATGTCAATCTTTATGCTTAAGATTTCCCTTCACTGGAACTAAGGGGCCTAGCCGAACCATGAAAATCAGCCCCAGACAATTATTCCTCCTCCACCAAACTTTACAGTTGGCACTATGCATTGGGGCAGGTAGCGTTCTCCTGGCATTAGCCAAACCCAGATTCGTCTGTCGGACTGCCAGATGCTGAACCGTGATTCATCACTCCAGAGAACGTGTTTCCAATGGCGGCGAGCTTTACACCACTCCAGCCGACGCTTGGCATTGCGCATGGTGATTTTAGGATTGTGCACGGCTGCTCAGCCATGGAAACCCCTTTCATGAAGCTCCCGACGAACGGATATGGACAGATGATTTTTACGCTCTACGCGCTTCAGCACTCGGCGGTCCCGTTCTGTGAGCTTGTGAAGCATACCACTTCGCGGCTGAGCCATTGTTGCTCCTAGACATTTCCACTTCGCAATAATAGCACTTACAGTTGAACAGGGCAGCTCTAGCAGGGCAGAAATTTGACAAACTGACTTGTTGGAAAGGTGGCATCCTATGACGGTGCCACATTGTAAGTCACTGAGCTCTTCAGTAAGACCATTCTACTGCCAATGTTTGTATGGTGATTCCATGGCTGTGTGCTTGATATTATACACCTGTCAACAACAAGTGTGGCTGAAATAGCCGAATCCACTAATTTGAAGGGTTGTCCACATACTTTTGTATATATAGTGTATTTTTTCAGTAGTTCAGTATAGTAAATACTACAGTAATGTCCGCAAAAACAGTACAGTAAATACTACAGTATACTACAGTCCACAAAAACCCTACAGTATATACTAAAGTATACTAGAGCCCTGCACGGGCATGGATTTTAAGCCCGATTCCCCTACCCATGCCTGCGATGTTCAGGCCCAACCCTACCCAGGCCCGATTGCTTCTGCCAAATTTAAGGTCCGGTCCTGCCCGAAACCCAAAATAACTTCCTCCATTAGTAAATCCATTAGCTGCTCCTCTCTGTCTGTCACTCACTCCTGCGCGCTGTTCGCTCTGCTCATGGTGGCTCTGAGTCTGCGAGTAACCACAGCAACGGCTCCGCTTGGGCTGCTCTGCTCAATGACTAGACATTAGAGAGCAGTTAGTGTTAGCTACTTTTTGTAAACTCTGAATAAACTCAAGGAACATTATTATTTTCTGTGAAATAATCTCTCCTGTCTTATATTTGATGAGGTTGAAGGACTTCTGACATAATGTTATGTTCTTAGTCAGATATGACTGTACTGTGCAGCAGAGCATGAGCAAATGGCTCAGCTTAAAATTGTTAATGATCAATTTATTGATACCCGAGCCTTGCCCGTAACCTAGTGATTGATGAAAAAACAAGACCTACCCGAGCCTAACCCGATGTATAATGTCGGGGCCCGTCGGGCTCGGGTCTGGTAGCAGAGCTCTACAGTATACTACAATCCGCAAAAACACTACATGAATTATTACTATAGTATATACTACAGTTTTGTTTTTACTACAGTATTTATACTATAGTTAACTATAAATACTACAATATACTACAGTAAATACTACAGTAAATACTACATTGAATTCTACAGTCAAGTCCACATAAACACTACAGTGAATATTATAGTATTTATACCAAAGTATGCTATAGTATTTTTTTATGTGGGCACTCTGTAGAAGTCATTTTGTGTTGTTGTTTTTTTTGTCCCAGCCGCAGACAAACAACAATAAAAACAGTGTAGTGAGCAGTACCAGCAGCACATCATCTTCAGCACCAATGGTATCTCATCTATACTTAGTTTCTCTCATTGTTGCTTTACTCACCCTGTTCCATTGGATTAGTCCCCAAGTTTCTGTTTAGTTCTTGCTTTTTGCCATCCGTTTGTCTCATCCCCTCTTTATTCACTCTCCCTATTATTTTTCCCTCCCTTTCTTCCATCCTCTTCACCTCCATTTTGAGAAAAGTGTGATGTTGACGATGGTTTTGATGATTTTAAACTGAACAACTGGTTTGAGCCTGTGACCCTCTCTCACTAGGCTCCTGTTTTACCCAGTCTTACTCTCTTGTCATGCACAGACATGCATGACAATGATATACAGAAATAATGGTATTTTACACATTTTAAATAGATTCACAATGCCACAATTGAATATTCCTAGGGGTCCCTCTTGGGCATTTGTATTTCTCCCCCTTTATAAAGCTTGTGATTTGACATACTACACAGTTACAGTAGCTGAATTGGGGGCATGTGAAAAACGATTGATTGATTTAAATTCAAAAGTTCATTAAAACTATGGGTAAAACAGGATCCAGAAATGTCAGGAAACAGAGATATTCCAATTGTATGGAAGATGCAGTCCCTCTATTTAAGTGTATCTCCTTGTGAAGCCTACCCCAGGGTAAAAAGACAACAGGTGCCATGTCAAAGAAACACATCTCATCTCCCTTTCCAGTGATCTCAATGGTATAGTCCTGTCTATGGCCCTTGGCCCTGTTAACAGAACATATAGCTACAGGGGAAGCAAAGAGCTGTGGTGAAAAGCCTAGAAGCATGTATAGTGGTGTCTATTAGACAGACTACTGCACTTCAGTGACCTGAGAGAGACATGAAACCTGTATGAGGGACAGAATCTGAGTGTTTGGCAATGCAACATAACATTTACTGTAGCATTGTGGAATGTCAGTCAGGTACCCAGGCTAAGAGAATCCCTTTTCTATTAAATCCAAATCACAGTGCCACCTCCATCAAACTGATCAGATCAGTTTCTCACTCTTCTCCAGTAGGGCTACTGGCAAACTACTATATTTGGTTGTGGATTACTTGGCTGATGTGGTCAGTGTTAAAGGATGGTTTGTCTCTCTGGGTCAGCACTCAGTTGATCTGACAGTGCCTCCTAGCCTTTTCTAATCAGCTACAATACATAAACTTACAGAAGGGCAGAATGTCAGGCTCTGTGGTACCATTTAAAGGGATAGTGCAACATTTAGGCAATTAAGCCCTTTTTTCTACTAACCCAGAATAAGATTAACTCATGGATACCATTTTTATGTCTCTGTGTGGCTTAATTGCCAAAATGTCGCACTATCCCTTTAAGCTAATGGTTCTGTTATCCAAGGGACTGCATCTTCATGTGTGTAGGTGGTTTGGTTGAGGTGGAGTCCGTAGACCAGTGTCCTGTGGGAGGGTCCAGGGTTGTGCTACTGTTTGTTGGTGTGGGTGGGACAGTGCCTTGTGGGTGTCTGTGTCGCAGTATTTTAAGCTGCTAGGCGCTTTTGCAATGAGTGTTTCCATGGTTACTGACTGTAACGGCAGGGTCTAGGTTGGGATGGGGGGGGGGGGGGGGGGGTTGATGGGTGGACTGCTGATCCCATCTCACTTCTTTCTCCTCTGTTGCTTTACGTCTTAGAGGCCCTCCTCTAAGTCTGAGAGCTCCAATGATAAGTGACATAGTCCATAGCTCCTTCCTCTAGTGGAATGGATTAGTGTGGCTCTTTGTTGTATCTGCTAATTCTCAAACCCCCATCCTGTCTCATTGCCCCCCATGACAGCGCCCCTCTGCTGCCTCCGTGCTGTGGCTCTTGTGCTTGGCTGTGTGTGTGTGTGTGTTTACATGCATCAGACGTGTGGATCCCACATTCTCAGGGCCTTCCCTGGTGGTCCCTGCATGTTAAACTCTCTCCTGCTTCCCCTAGGAACCACAGACCACTGTCGTGCACAACCCAGCTGACGGCACCAAGGTAAGCCGCTGCTGTACCTCTTTAATCCCATAGAGTCGCTATAGGCTAATGCTAATGCTAAAATACCTTAGCGTGGTTAGAACTCTATGAAGGTACCTTAGAGAGGCTAGAGCTGATACCTTAGAGCGATGCTAACACAATGTACGCTTAACCACTCCATATCTACTGACAGTCACACTAACTTAGTCTCACTAACCCTCAAAACACTCACAACGCCACACCTGCTGTGAGAGTCCCTCACTCGCCCAAACCACACTGGCTCAGCCACCAAAAAGCCACATACACAGTACACACAGCCTTTAACACACACAGTTTGTACCTCAACAAAAGGCTGTGTTTGGTGTGGATCCTCGTGCGCTTGCCCTCCTGTCTGCCTGGCTGGTTTGTGCAGGGTTTGTGTTCCTCTGAGGGAGCTTCCGTCTGACCTTTCTTTTGTCTGTACACCTGGGGAAGGCCTCATCCAAGTCATCTCTCACCACACAGACTAATGCTGTTTCCTACTGCTATATCACTTTCTCTCATTTACTTATTCTCTCTATCCTCCATGTTTCTGTCCATCACTTTTCTCCCCTACAGGGCTCCACAGAGAGCTGTAACACCACAGAAGAGGAGGATATGAAAAGTAGAAAAGGTACACGTCAAACTTTCACTTACTCTGCATGTTTTCTCACTTCTTGGTGTTTGTCAGAAAGACAGAGCTAGAATGCAAGATAGGACTCTAGGTCAGTGGATTTCCTTGAGTTAATATACACTCAGTATTCACAGCCAGTTTTATTAGGTACACCCATCTAGTACCGGGTCGGACCCCCCTTTGCCTCCAGAACAACCTGAATTCTTCGGGGAATAGAAACGTTGCTCAATTGGTATCAAGGGACCTAACATTCCTCACACCATTAACCATCGCCACGGTTCTTGCCATTCTCCTTCGACCTCTCATCAACGAGCTGTTTTTCGCCCACAGGACTGCCCCGGACTGGATGTTTTTTGTTTGTTGCAGCATTCTCTGTAAACCATAGACACTGTCGTGCGTGAAAAGCCCAGGAGACCGGTCGTTTCTGAGATACTGGAACTGGCACGCCTGGCACCGACGATAATACCACGCTCAAAGTCGCTTAGGTCACCCGTTTTGCCCATTCTAACATTCAATCGAACAGCAACTGAATGCCAAGATGCCTGTCTGCCTGCTTTATATAGCAAGCCACGGCCACGTGACTCACGGTCTGTAGGAGCGAACCATTTTCGTGAACAGGGACGGGGTGGTGTACCTAATAAATTGGCCACTGAGTGTAGATTATACATATGTTTAAAAAAGGTTATGTGAGTAATGGGGTTACAAAATGATAATTCATGTGCTCCCTTGTTTTCAATCCTTCTCCTTAATTTCTTTAGAAAGAGAATAGATCACGATCAAGGCCAGAGAAGCCTATGATGGCCTGAGTTAACTGTCAGGCCTGTGTCTGGGCCTGTGAACATCTGGGAGATGTAGACACATATGGAAGGTGTCTGTAGCTGAGTATATATGGCTGGAGAGGGAATGATGAAGTACTGCCATATTGGAGAAGAGCTTTTGCTCTGGTCTTTATCTGCATTTACAGCTGCTGTGGAGAAGTCAAATAAGTAGTTTAGTAGTTTGAAGGCTTGTATTCCTACGGAGTGAAAAGATATGTCTTGCTGAGAATGGAAAATTGCACAGTAGTCTGAGCTTTGGAGACTGTGAGAGACAGAGCTGAATACTGAGCGATCTAGCTGTGGACGTAGACTATGCTTTGTCTGAACAAACTAATAGACTAGCACATGAAGGCCTTATATGTCTTGGTTTTCCCCTCAAATCCCTAGTCTTTAGATAGTCTCCCCATTCTTGGTCTCACAGCTCCCCTGGGCTTAAAGAGTTGGCACTCCACCACTCTTAAACCTGTGTGTGTGTGTGTGTGTGTGTGTGTTGCTCGTCCAAACTGCGTTGTTTAAAGAAGAAGGGGGGGGGGGGGGGGGGGGGGGGGGCGTCACTTAGAGGACATCGGCATAACTGGAATGCAAAATAGGGACAAAATTAGATATTGAAAATGTAACAGTATGTAGTGTATTTTGTTTGAGAGGTGTACAGTGTGGTCTCACTCCCCTGTTTCTCTGGCTAGTTGTGATGGGGTGGGATTATATATATTGTGTCTCACCCCACTGTGTGTGTCTCTCTGTGTACGGGGGTGGTGGTGGGATATATAATGTGTGGTGTGTTTTGTTAGTGTATGGTTGGGTTGGGTGTGTAGTGTTTTGTCTTGGCAAAATAGTAGTGTGTATAGAACTGTGTCTGATCCTCCTCTCTCTCTGGTGTGTGTGTGTGTGTGTTGTGGTGGGGGCAGTGTCTGCGTGCGGGTCTAGCGCGGACAGCGCAATGGTCAGCCAGTGCAGTGCCAGTGAGGAACAGACCCAGCCCCAGCCCCAGCCCCCTCACTGCCCACCCGCCTGTAAGTCAGCAGCAGTATCACCCCTCAACTCTGACCTTGGTGTCCTTTCCCCCCTTTGAACTCATTTATAATGTCCCCCTAAGACTATCCCCATAATATTGTCCCCCTAAGGCTGTCTGTCCCCATAATACTGTGCCATTTAAGATTCCCCATAATACTGTGAAATTTAAGATTGTCTCCATAATAGTGTTCATCCAAGACTCTTCCTGTATTACTTTTCTGTATTACTATTAGGGGCTGGATCCACGTTGTAGCCCAATTTACATTTAAAGGTGTTGGATTCTAGCTTTAAATATACTTATTCATGTTACCATACTAGAACTTATTGATTACTTTACATGTATAATTAATGTATATGTTGGGGTCAATGGAGGGTGGATAAGAACTAGGTATATGGGCAGTTACTGAGTGGGGAAGGGGGAGTGCAGAAAGTTTACATTCTGTCAAAACATGGTATTGTTAAATCTCATGGGTCCACCACCACCACCCCCGTACACAGAGAGACATGGGTCCTAAGGAGGGAGGCAATGGGCAACAGTCTGGTTCAGTCACTGATAAGGTAGGACAGTCGTGGATTAGGGAGGAGCGAGGAATTCGGTCCCGAGGTCAGGTCAGATGAAGTGAGAAGGAGCAGTCCTATCCCACATACATATATTTCCACGCCCACAAAGGTTCTAGTAGGAGGCAGGGCCATGACTTCCCGTTCCCGAGAAAGCAGTATATCCTTTGCGTCGAACTCTTTAAAGAAAAAATCTTTGTCCAGTTCGAGGTGAGTAATCACTGTTCTGATGTCCAGAAGTTATTTTCGGTCATAAGAGACTGTAGCAGCAACATTATGTACATAATAAGTAAAAAAATAAGTTACAAACAACGCAAAAAAACTAACAAAATAGCACAGTTGGTTAGGAGCCCGTAAAATGGCTGCCATCCCCTCCGGCGCCATTATTATTTTGAGCAAAATAGTGTTTGTTTTTTGTTGACACAACTCCAAACTTCAAGGAGTAGGAGATTCAAGGAGTTGGTTTGATGGGAAGTTGTGATGCCATCGGCCTCCCTCCTTGCTTGAGGAACAATAGAGGAGCATTAGAGAATAATAATAATATGCCATTTAGCAGACGCTTTTATCCAAAGCGACTTACAGTCATGCGTGCATAATTATTATTTTTTTGTGTATGGGTGGTCCCCCCGGGGATCGAACCCACTACCTTGGCATTACAGGCGCCGTGCTCTACCAGCTGAGCTACAGAGGACCACAGAGAACATTTACATTTTACATTTTTGTAAAATCAGACAAATGCCCGTGGCATCTAATTATTAATGTCTCTCTTATTTTTTTATGAAATTGCGCAAACTTCAAACATATCACAGTGCATGGGATATCATTTAGCTCTGAAACCTGCAGCCTTGCTGGCTCGGTCAACGAGGCTATCTGAGCCCCTACACCTTGATACTTTTCACTACCTCAGTTTTGGGACACAGGCACTCATGAACGTCATTTAAAAATGTGTGTCTCACATCTCTCCTCCTTATTTCTCTGTCGGCTCATCAGATTGACGCTACTCAGCTGTCCTACACTATATATACAAAAGTATGTGGACATCCCTTCAAATGAATGGATTTGGCTATTTCAACCACACCCGTTGCTGACAGGTGTATAAAATCGAGCACACAGCCATGCAATCTCCATAGACAAACATTGGCAGTAGAATGGCCTTGGTGAAAAGCTCAGTGACTTTCAACGTGGCACCGTCATAGGATGCCACCTTTCCAACAAGTTAGTTTGTGAAATTTCTGTCCTGCTAGAGCTGCCCCGGTCAACTGTAAGTGCTGTTATTGTGAAGTGGAAACGTCTAGGAACAACAACGGCTCAGCCACGAAGTGGTAGGCTGCACAAGCTCACAGAACGGGACCGCCGACTGCTGAAGCGCGTAGAGCGTAAAAATCGTTTGTCCTCGGTTGCAACACTCACTACCGAGTTCCAAACTGCCTCTGGAAGCAACATCAGCACAATAACTGTTCGTCGGGAGCTTCATGAAATGGGTTTCCATAGCTGAGCAGCCGCGCACAATCCTAAAATCACCATGCGCAATGCAAAGCGTCGGCTGGAGTGGTGTAAAGCTTGCCGCAATTGGACTCTGGAGCAATGGAAACACGTTCTCTGGAGTGATGAATCACGCTCAGCATCTGGCAGTCCGACGGACAAATCTGGGTTTGGCGGATGCCAGGAGAACGCTACCTGCCCCAATGCATACTGGCAACTTTAAAGTTTGGTGGAGGAGGAATAATGGTCTGGGGCTGTTTTTCATGGTTTGGGCTAGGCCCCGTAGTTCCAGTGAAGGGAAATCTTAACGCTACAGCATACAATGACGTTCTAGACGATTCTGTGCTTCCAACTTTGTGACTACAGTTTGGGGAAGGCCCTTTCCTGTTTCAGCATGACATTATCCCCGTGCACAAAGCGAGTTCCATACAGAAACGGTTTGTTGAGATCGGTGTGGAAGAACTTGACTGGCCTGCACAGAGCCCTGACCTCAACCCCATCTAACACCTTTGGGATGAGTTGGAACGCCGACTGAGAGCCAGGCCTAATCGCCCAACATCAGTGCCCGACCTCACTAATGCTCTTGGCTGAATGGAAGCAAGTCTCCGCAGCAATGTTCTAACATCTAGTGGAAAGCCTTCCCAGAAGAGTGGAGGCTGTTATAGCAGCAAAGGGGGGACCAACTCCATATTAATGCCCATGATTTTGGAATGAGATGTTCAACAAGCAGTTGTCCACATACTTTTGGTCATGTAGTGTATCTATCACTCAGCATGTCCCTCTCAGACTTTGCCAAAAGCATGTCCCATATCTGCTTTACTATGACAATAATGTTACCATGCTGTGCTCACGTGCTGTGGATAGACACTCTGTTTTGCTGACATGCGTTCACTGTTGGCTTTCCCTACTCATTGAAGTGCAAACCTGAACCTGGGACTCTGCCTCTCTCTTCATTCCTCTCCCTATATTACATCTTCCTCTCTTGCTCTTCACCTCCTTTTTTCGGACACAGAGAATAAATAGTGCTGACCTAAGGCTCACTGGCCTTTTAATGTATTTATCCCTCCCCATGGCCCTAATACAGACACCCAGCCTGACAGCTGAGCAGACCGTAGCCAGACAGCAAGCTAGGCTATACAAAGGCTGGATCTCAATAGTCTAAACAGGCTTTCTCTCCTTGCACTATTTGATAGGACTGGACAGGTGACAGCAGCAAATCCATCATCAGGTCTCTGCCAACTTGCTTTCACCTATCCTATCTTCTCAAATCGGTGCTGAATCTGACGAAGTAGATTAGCTGAAGAGAGAAAGCCATTGTAGACTTTTGAGATCAATTGAGATTCACCCCCAGACTCTGGTCCACTCCAGTCCTCTGCTCAATAAACAGCCACCCGCTGTCCCTGAGGTGTCTCTGTCTGTCTGTACTCTCTTACTTCCCCATTCAGGCAGTATCCTATGTGGTGGCCTGTAACTGGGTTTAGTACTTGACTGCTGCCCCCTGCTGGCTGTAAGGCCACAGTGTCTTCTCCATCTCCTGCTGTGGTGCTGTGTTCACTGGTGTCCCCTCTGTCCGTCTGTGTGACGCTATATCCATTGGTATATCTTAAGTTGTTATTAGTGTATCTATGTTCTTCTAAGTTTGGCTTCTATGTAGCATGTCCTTTATATAACTCCATTGCTTGTGGGCATTGTGCTCCTTTCAGAGCAGTGTGAAGTTATACTGTGAAGTTATACACACTATGTAACAACTGCCATTTGAGTGCACAGTATTCCAGTTTGGGAAAACGGGTCTTGTGGTTCTGTCAGTTGTGTTTTAAGTTTTTTTGTTTCTGATTTGTTCGCTTACATTTGTTGCTGTTGTCCTGTTGTCTTCCAGCCGCCCCACTGCATGACGATGCTAAGCACACTTTTGCTAATTAGAACTGTTCAGGTCATAGCTCCTGTCTTGACTTAGAGCAAGCTCTGCCTGCGCCACCCTCCATGGCCCCAGGGGGCAGCAACACGCAGCTGAGTAAGTTAGACAGCCCTGGGGCAGCTACACTACGCAGTAGAGTTAGTGACACGCACGCCATACACGCACAGAATTCCACTAGCTTTCATTACTAACCTTGCCTCACAGTTAGTCAGCTGACTCAGCTATATTTATGTGAGAGTAACATATAGGCTTCAGTACAATACCAATAAGAATAAGAGCACTTCCTCCCAGCTGCCCACTGCACTGAGGCTAGGAAACACTATCACCACCGAAAAATCTACAATAATCGAGAATTTCAACAAGCATTTTGCTATGCTTTCCACCTGGCTATCACTACCCCGGCCACCAGCTCTGCACCCTCCGCTGCAACTTGCCCATGCCCCACCCCCCCCGCTTCTCCTTCACACAAATTCAGACAGCTGATGTTCTGAAAGAGCTGCAAAATCTGGACCCCTACAAATCATCTGGGCTAGACAATCTCGACCCTTTCTTTCTAAAATGAGCAGCCGAAATTGTCGCAACCCCTATTACTAGCCTGTTCAACCTCTCTTTTGTAACGTCTGAGATCCCCAGAGATTGGAAAGCTGCCGCGGTCATCCCCCCTCTTCAAAGGGGGTGACACTCTAGATCCAAACTGTTACAGACCTATATACATCCTGCCCTGCCTTTCGAAAGTTTTTGAAAGCCAAGTTAACAAACAGATCACCGACCATTTCGAATCCCACCGTACCTTCTCCGCTATGCAATCCGGTTTCCGAGCTGGTCATGGGTGCACCTCAGCCACGCTCAAGGTCCTAAACGATATTATAACCGCAATCGATAATAGACAGTACTGTGCAGCCGTCTTCATCGACCTGGCCAAGGCTTTCGACTCTGTCAACCACCGCATTCTTATGGGCAGACTAAATAGCCTTGGTTTCTCAAATGACTGCCTCGCCTGGTTCACCAACTACTTCTCAGATAGAGTTCAATGTGTCAAATCGGAGGGCCTGTTGTCTGGACCTATGGCAGTCTCTATGGGGGTGCCACAGGGTTCAATTCTTGGGCCGACTCTTTTCTCTGTGTATATCAATGATGTCGCTCTTGCTGCTGGTGACTCTCAGATCCACCTCTACGCAGAAGACACCATTTTGTATACATCTGGCCCTTCATTGGACACTGTGTTAACAAACCTCCAAACGAGCTTCAATGCCATACAACACTCCTTCAGTAGCCTCCAACTGCTCTTAAACACTAGTAAAACTAAATGCATGCTCTTCAATCGAACGCTGCTGACACCCGCCCACCCGACTAGAATCACTACTCTCGACGGGTCTGACCTAGAGTATGTGGACAACTACAAATACCTAGGTGTCTGGTTAGACTGTAAACTCTCCTTCCAGACTCACATTAAGCATCTCCAATCCAAAGTTAAATCTAGAATCGGCTTCCTATTTCACAACAAAGCCTCCTTCACTCATGCTGCCAAACATGCCCTCGCAAAACTGACTATCCTACCGATCCTTGACTTCGGCGATGTCATTTACAAAATAGCCTCCAACACTCTACCCACCACTGTGACCTGTACGCTCTTGTTGGCTGGTCCTCACTACATATTCGTCGCCAAACCCACTGGCTCCAGGCCATCTATAAATCACTGCTAGGCAAATCCTGCCTTATCTTAGCTCATTGGTCACCATAGCAACACCCACCCGTAGTATGCGCTCCAGCAGGTACAGTGGGGAGAACAAGTATTTGATACACTGCCGATTTTGCAGGTTTTCCTACTTACAAAGCATGTAGAGGTCTGTAATTTTTATCATAGGTACACTTCAAATGTGAGAGACAGAATCTAAAACAAAAATCCAGAAAATCACATTGTATGATTTTTAAGTAATAATTTGCATTTTATTGCATGACATAAGTATTTGATACATCAGAAAAGCAGAACTTAATATTTGGTACAGAAACCTTTGTTTGCAATTACAGAGATCATACGTTTCCTGTAGGTCTTGACCAGGTTTGCACACACTGCAACAGGGATTTTGGCCCACTCCTCCATACAGACCTTCTCCAGATCCTTCAGGTTTCGGGGCTGTCGCTGGGCAATACGGACTTTCAGCTCCCTCCAAATATTTTCTATTGGGTTCAGGTCTGGAGACTGGCTAGGCCACTCCAGGACCTTGAGATGCTTCTTACGGAGCCACTCCTTAGTTGCCCTGGCTGTGTGTTTCGGGTCATTGTCATGCTGGAAGACCCAGCCACGACCCATCTTCAATGCTCTTACTGAGGGAAGGAGGTTGTTGGCCAAGATCTCGCGATACATGGCCCATCCATCCTCCCCTCAACACGGTGCAGTCGTCCTGTCCCCTTTGCAGAAAAGCATCCCCAAAGAATGATGTTTCCACCTCCATGCTTCACGGTTGGGATGGTGTTCTTGGGGTTGTACTCATCCTTCTTCTTCCTCCAAACACGGCGAGTTGAGTTTAGACCAAAAAGCTCTATTTTTGTCTCATCAGACCACATGACCTTCTTCCATTCCTCTTCTGGATCATCCAGATGGTCATTGGCAAACTTCAGACGGGCCTGGACATGCGCTGGCTTGAGCAGGGGGCCTTGTGTGCGCTGCAGGATTTTAATCCATGACGGCGTAGTGTGTTACTAATGGTTTTCTTTGAGACTGTGGTCCCAGCTCTCTTCAGGTCATTGACCAGGTCCTGCCGTGTAGTTCTGGGCTGATCCTTCACTTCCTCATGATCATTGATGCCCCACGAGGTGTGACCTTGCATGGAGCCCCAGACCTAGGGTGATTGACCGTCATCTTGAACTTCTTCCATTTTCTAATAATTGCGCCAACAGTTGTTGCCTTCTCACCAAGCTGCTTGCCTATTGCCCTGTAGCCCATCCCAGCCTTGTGCAGGTCTACAATTTTATCCCTGATGTCCTTACATAGCTCTCTGGTCTTGGCCAGTGTGGAGAGGTCGGAGTCTGTTTGATTGAGTGTGTGGACAGGTGTCTTTTATACAGGGAACGAGTTCAAACAGGTGCAGTGAATACAGGTAATGAGTGGAGAACAGGAGGGCTTCTTAAAGAAAAACTAACAGGTCTGTGAGAGCCGGAATTCTTACTGGTTGGTAGGTGATCAAATACTTATGTCATGCAATAAAATGCAAATTAATTACTTAAAAATCATACAATGTGATTTTCTGGATTTTAGTTTTAGATTCCGTCTCTCACAGTTGAAGTGTACCTATGATAAAAATTACAGACCTCTACATGCTTTGTAAGTAGGAAAACCTGCAAAATCGGCAGTGTATCAATTACTTGTTCTCCCCACTGTATATCTCACTGGTCATCCCCAAAGCCAACACCTCCTTTGGCCGCCATTCCTTCCAGTTCTCTGCTGCCAATGACTGGAACGAATTGCAAAAATCTCTGAAGCTGGAGACTCTTATCTCCCTCACTAACTTTAAGCATCAGTTGTCAGAGCACATTACCGATCACTGCACCTGTACACAGCCCATCTGAAATTAGCCCACCCAACTACCTCATCCCCATATTGTTATTTGTTTTTTCATTTGCACCCCAGTATCTCTATTTGCACATCATCTCTTGCACATCTATCATTCCAGTGTTAATACTAATTGTAATTATTTTTGCACTATGGCCTATTTATTGCCTTACCTCCATAACTTGTTACATTTGAACACACTGTATATATATTTTCTGTTGTATTTTTAACTTTATGTTTTGTTTTACCCCATATGTAACTCTGTTGTTGTTTTTATCGCACTGCTTTGCTTTATCTTGGCCAGGTCGCAGTTGTAAATGAGAACTTGTTCTCAACTGGCCTACCTGGTTAAATAAATGTTAAATAAAATAATAATAAAGCCATGCTTGAGCTGCTTTTTGCTAGTTCATCATACCTGTGGGAATATGAACGGTACAAACGGAGGTGTGCTCGCAGTTTGTATATATAAGCTGTGTTGTGTGGGATTTCTCAACTTCAGTGGCAGGTTGTCTGGCGTAGTGGGCTATCTGTGTGTCTGCCACTTCTCGTGTGTTACGCTCCCAGATGACATTTCAGTGAGCCCAGTTGGGTTGTGTGTCACTTGTCTGTGTGGTTGAGGATTGACAGGAGTTGTATACATGATTGAGGTTTAGACCAGGAATTATAGAACACAAACATCAACACATCTGAAGTAACTTTGGAGAATTAGAACCTGTTTCTATGCACTTGAGGTTTAGGGAACTGAAACTGTTCAAAAACTCAAACATTGCCACATCCCTATTGGAAGGGAAAGAGCGCTGGACTGCAGCTAAGTTGGGGCCTGTTAAGGTAGTTTTCATGGGATTGGTGATCTCCTAAAGTCCCCTGTAGTGTTTCTTTAAACTGTGTACAACCAAACAACAATAGGCATTGATGACATTGAGAGTGCAAAGTCTCTGCACTCAGTACCATACAGGAAAGGGCTAGTGAGCTAGCTGAAGCATGGTGAGGGAGGGTGTCTGCATGCTGGCCTTTAAGTATTTGTGACCAGAGCACTCCTACGGTTTCTAATCCCATCTGGCCATCTCTTTCTCTCCTGCCATTTTTATTTCTCTCTATCGTTCTCTGGATTTCAGCTCGCAAACAAGAGATCATCAAGATTACTGAGCAGCTGATTGAGGCCATCAACAACGGAGACTTTGAGGCTTACACGTGAGTTTATAGATTGTGTGCATACATTTCATTACCTCCTGGTTTGAAAACAGAATAACCCCTAACCCTGCTGATTTCCCTCTTCGTTACTAGAGTAGTATGTGGTGTGTGAGAGGGTGGGAGGTGCTGATGATACAGTGCCTTCAGAAATTATTCATGCCCCTTGACTTATTCCACATTTTGTTGCGTTACAGCCTGAATTCAAAATGTATTAAATTGATTATTTTTTCTCACCCATCTAAACACATTACCCCATAATGACAAAGTGAAAACATGGTTTACATTTTTTGGGCAAATTTATTGAAAATGAAATACATTTACATAAGTATACACACCCCTGAGTCAATCAATACATGCTAGAATCACCTTTGGCAGCGATTACGGCTGTGAGTCTTTCTGGGTAAGAGCTTTGCACACCTGGATTGTACAATATTTGTACATTATTCTTTTTTAAATTCTTCAAGCTCTGTCAAGTTGGTTGTTGATCATTGCTAGACAGCCATTTTCAAGTCTAGCCATAGATTTTCAAGCCGATTTAAGTCAAAACTGTAACTAGGCCTCTCAGGAACATTTAATGTTGTCTTGGTAAGCAACTCCAGTGTATATTTGGCATTGTGTTTTAGGTTATTGTCCTGCTAAAAGGTGAATTTGTCTCCTAGTGTCTGCTGGAAAGCAGACTGAACCAGGTTTTCCTCTAGGATTGTGCCTGTGCTTAGCTCTATTCTATTAATTTTTTTATTTAAAAAAACTCCCTAGTCCTTGCTGATGACAAGCATACTCATAACATGATGCAGCCACCACCATTCTTGAAAATATGAAGAGTGGTGCTCATTGATGTGTTGTGTTGAATTTGCCCCAAACATAACACTTTGTATTCAGGCCATGAAGTTAATTTCTTTGCCACATTTTTCGCAGTTTTACTTTAGTGCCTTATTGCAAACAGGATGCATGTTTTGGAATATTTGTATTCTGTACAGGCTTCCTTCTTTTCACTCTGTCATTTAGGTTAGTATTGTGGAGTAACTACAATATTGTTGATCCATCCTCAATTTTCTCCTATCACAGCCATTAAACTCTGTAACTGTTTTAAAGTCACCATTGGCCTGATGATGAAATCCCTGAGCGGTTTCCTTCCTCTCCGGCAACTGAGTTAGGAAGGATGTCTGTATCTTTGTAGTGACTGGGTGTATTGATACGCCATCCAAAATGTAATTAATAACTTCACCTTGCTCAAAGGGATATTCACTGTCTGCTTTATTTTTTATTTTTACCCATCTACCAATAGGTGCCCTTCTTTGCGAGGCATTGGAAAACCTCCCTGGTCTTTGCGGTTGAATCTGTGTTTGAAATTCACTGCTCGACTGAGGGACCTTACAGATAATTGTATGTGTGGGGTACAGAGATGAGGTAGTCATTCAAATATCACTATTATTGCACACAGAGTGAGTCCATGCAACATATTATGTGATTTGTAAAGGACATTTTTTACTCTTGAACTTATTTCCGCTTGACTTAACAAAGGGGTTGAATACTTATGGACTCAAGACATTTCAGCTTTTCATTTTTAATTAATTGGTAAACATTTCTAAAAACACAATTCCACGTTGACATTATGGGGTATTGTGTGTAGGCCAGTGACACAAAATCTGTAACACAACAAAATGTAACAACAAAATGTGGAATACTTTGTAAAGGCACTGTATGTCTGATTTCCCTTCCAGGAGAATCTGTGACCCAGGGCTAACCTCGTTTGAACCCGAGGCTTTGGGAAACCTGGTGGAGGGCATGGACTTCCACAAATTCTACTTTGAGAACTGTGAGCATCTCTTATCAACAGGGAACTAAACATTGTAGTGTCATTCCACGAATAGTGCCTTTTGGGTAGTGTACTTTGGTCAAAAAGAACTAATTATTTCACCTAATTTTAACATTCTTTCATAAAGAGCACATGTTCAACTTCATAACAAACATATTTTCCCATCTCAAGTTAAATTAACAGCCCACTGGGCACAAATTGGTTCAATCAACGTTGCGTCAACGTAAATTGGCAACATATTGTGACGTGGAATCTACAGTGGGGAAAAAAAGTATTTAGTCAGCCACCAATTGTGCAAGTTCTCCCACTTAAAAAGATGAGAGAGGCCTGTAATTTTCATCATAGGTACTTGTCAACTATGACAGACAAATTGAGTAGAAAAAAATCCAGAAAATCACATTGTAGGATTTTTAATGAATTTATTTGCAAATTATGGTGGAAAATAAGTATTTGGTCACCTACAAACAAGCAAGATTTCTGGCTCTCACAGACCTGTAACTTCTTATTTAAGAGGCTCCTCTGTCCTCCACTTGTTACCTGTATTAATGGCACCTGTTTGAACTTGTTATCAGTATAAAAGACACCTGTCCACAACCTCAAACAGTCACACTCCAAACTCCACTATGGCCAAGACCAAAGAGCTGTCAAAGGACACCAGAAACACAATTGTAGACCTGCACCAGGCTGGGAAGACTGAATCTGCAATAGGTAAGCAGCTTGGTTTGAAGAAATCAACTGTGGGAGCAATTATTAGGAAATGGAAGACATACAAGACCACTGATAATCTCCCTCGATCTGGGGCTCCACGCAAGATCTCACCCCGTGGGGTCAAAATGATCACAAGAACGGTGAGCAAAAATCCCAGAACCACACGGGGGGACCTAGTGAATGACCTGCAGAGAGCTGGGACCAAAGTAACAAAGCCTACCATCAGTAACACACTACGCCGCCAGGGACTCAAATCCTGCAGTGCAAGACGTGTCCCCCTGCTTAAACCTGTACATGTCCAGGCCCGTCTGAAGTTTGCTAGTGTGCATTTGGATGATCTAGAAGAGGATTGGGAGAATGTCATATGGTCAGATGAAACCAAAATATAACTTTTTGGTAAAAACTCAACTCGTCGTGTTTGGAGGACAAAGAATGCTGAGTTGCATCCAAAGAACACCATACCTACTGTGAAGCATTGGGGTGGAAACATCATGCTTTGGGGCTTTTTCTGCAAAGGGACCAGGACGACTGATCCGTGTAAAGGAAAGAATGAATGGGGCCATGTATCGTGAGATTTTGAGTGAAAACCTCCTTCCATCAGCAAGGGCATTGAAGATGAAACGTGGCTGGGTCTTTCAGCGTGACAATGATCCCAAACACACCGCCCGGGCAACGAAGGAGTGGCTTCGTAAGAAGCATTTCAAGGTCCTGGAGTGGCCTAGCCAGTCTCCAGATCTCAACCCCATAGAAAATCTTTGGAGGGAGTTGAAAGTCCGTGTTGCCCAGCGACAGCCCCAAAACATCACTGCTCTAGAGGAGATCTGCATGAAGGAATGGGCCAAAATACCAGCAACAGTGTGTGAAAACCTTGTGAAGACTTACAGAAAACATTTAACCTGTGTCATTGCCAACAAAGGGTATATAACAAAGTATTGAGAAACTTTTGTTATTGACCAAATACTTATTTTCCACCATAATTTGCAAATAAATTCATAAAAAATCCTACAATGTGATTTTCTGGATTTTTTTATTCTCAATTTGTCTGTCATAGTTGACGTGTACCTATGATGAAAATTACAGGCCTCTCTCATCTTTTTAAGTGGGAGAACTTGCACAATTGGTGGCTGACTAAATATTTTTTTCCCCACTGTATGTGTAAAATACAGTGGATTTGCAAAAAGTCATCAACTGTTGTTTTGAGGGTGAAATTTCAACCACAGGATTATGTCATCATGGTAACCAATTTTCAACATAGACAATCCTTGTATAAAATATGTTGAATTTGTACCTTTTGAAACAATGTCAGATCTTCAACCTTATCTCTACTTATCTCTACTAGGGATGTAGTTCAGTTGGTAGAGCATGGCGTTTACAACGCCAGGGTTGTGCATTCGATTCCCACGGTGGGCCAGTATGAAAAATTAAATAAAAAGATAATGTAAGTCGCTCTGGATAAGAGCGTCTGCTAAATGACTAAAAATGTTTAAAAAAAATCAGAAAAAAACAATAGGCTGGGCAGCATCTCCTACTGGAGAATTGATCTATCTACAGCAGGTGTGTCAAACTCGTTCCATTGAGGGCCTAGTGTCTGCAGGTTTTTGGTTTCAATTAAGACCTAGACAACCAGGTGAGGGGAGTTCTTTACTAATTAGTGACCTTAATTCATCAATCAAGTACAAGGGAGGAGTGAAAACCTGCAGACACTCGGCCCTCCGTGGAATGAGTTTGACATGTGATCTACAGCTATCCCTTTGGTCTCCTATCCAGGGTTGTAACCAAGTCTAGCCCTGCTTAGCTTTGACTATTACCTATGTGCTATCGTGAGAATGATTGTTGAGCGATCTCCACTTAAAAACTAAATAGATTCACTTTTGCTATCGAAGTCATTCCAAAGGGTGGGCTCCTGAGTGGCGCAGTGGTCTAAGGCACTGCATCTCAGTGCTTGAGGCGTCACTACAGACCCCCTGGTTCGATTCCAGGCTGTATCACAACCGGCCGTGATTGGGAGTCCCATAGGGCGGCGTGCAATTGGCCCAGCGTCGTCCGGGTTTGGCCGGTGTAGGCCGTCATTGTAAATAAGAATTTGTTCTTAACTGACTTGCCTAGTTAAATAAAGGTTAAAAAATAAAAACTGAGCAACATGTTCATAATATGTTGGATTCACGTCGCCATTTCAACAAAATATCTAAGTTAAAGAATAGGACTAAATCAAATCAAACTTGATTAAAAGTTAATTTAAAGTTTGATCTGATTTGATTTAGTCGTATTTCTTTAACTTCGATTTTTGGTTGAGATGGAGAGGTGAATCCAACATACAGTATAAATTATTAATTTGTAGACAAACTGAAATTAAAGCCTGACTAAATCAGTGGCACAGATGGAACTATCCAAGGAGTAGATAATCTCCTTCAAATGTGGGTATTTTGTTGCATTGACAACCAAGCACAATTCAATATAACTTTCGCAATACAGTAAATAGCCTATTAACTTGTCAACCAGCTTTCGCTATACAGTAAATAGCCTATTAACTTGTCAACCAGTTAATAGATTATATGTTGGATTCATGTCTCCAACTCAACCAAAAATAAAAGTTAAAGAATAGGATTAGGCCAGTGGCTCAAATGGAAATATCAAAATCTCCATTAAATGTTGATATTTGGTTGCTTTGTAAAGTTAAGACTTTCTTACAAACTATTGTAACAGTATTTATTCAACCTTAAAAGGTAGGTAGCATACACGTAACCACATGTAACATATGGATTTGCATTAGTATACGCATCAAAAGTCCCAATGCAAAATTACACCTCACTGTTCTATTTTTGGAGTTATTACATAAAACCGATCAGAATTCTGAAGCCATGTCGGAAAATGTTTTTCCGGGGTGTGATGTCATATCGAGGACCCGGCAAGCCAGCATATTCCACATAATGTACACTCCAACGGAAATAACTTCAAATTAAACCAAATCATTTGCACTCATGACTACTGTTTTCAATTGAATTTTCAGCCAACTTACAAGCAAATACTTTTTGAATTTATTGTTACAAATCAACTTGCAAGGTTGCTAGCCAACTACTCTGCTAACGTTAGCCCTACCAGCCTGCTAACTTTATGTTAGCACTGAATGAGTCAGCGAGTTACTATCAACACCTAGCTTACAGCTACATTAAAGTAAACCAACATTTTGGAAATACATAATGCTATCTAACCAGTTATCAAAGAATGTTAGCTAAATGCAGTTATCTTAGCCAGCAAGATAGGCAGCCGGCTAACGTTAGCTATTTAGCCAACTAGCTATTAGCCGTGATAGCCTAGCTAACCACCACAGTTATGGTCGGCAAGCTAGAGCCCAACTACTGGAGACCAACTAGAACATAACTAACACAACACAACTAAACATAACCTAAGATTAAAAGCAAAGAGAGAGCAGACTTACAGAATGATGGTTGGGGCCCATCCGATGGTAAAACTTTAAAAATTGTGCAGCTTGAGCTAGCTACCGAGCTAGCATACGAACTCGTTAGCACAGAGTAGATCCTCCATATGACGTTGAGAAATAGTGCATTGTGGGTAGTTTAGAAGTTAGCCGGAAATAAGTTAATAAATATGTAATAACCCAAAAACATCACTATGTTTGTACTTATAGGTAACCAGATCGTGACTACAACTAAGTTACTAAGTCTTTGACCACACTGTGTTGTTACATTGGTGAGTAAAAACTCATGCTTCCTACCCTTTAAAATGAGTAACACATCCATGGCCACATTGAGGTTACTGTCTTTATAAATGTCTTCCTATGTAACAATAGAAAGCGTGCATGTTCAAGATAGCATGCGAAGGTTGCAGGTCTGTGGAGGTCTGTGCAGAATCTTGAATAACATTGATCACTTGCACCACTACTTTTAATGTAATCTCAACTACAATCCAGGTAATTTGATTGTGCTATTAGATGAAGCACAGTGATAACACATTAAGTTGTATAAATAAACAAAATATCTGACATTGTATTCCCATTTGAACTTTGTTGTGCTTTTAGATGGTTGAAAGTATAGTGATAAAACATTGGGAATTAAACAAACTTTTGGCTATCTTTTTGAGTGGGTGAATATAGGTTGTTATCTCATTGATCAACGCCTCAACCAAATATTACCCAATTGTCCACTTTGAAATTTCGTGGTGTGCCCAGTGGGAGCTTTGACTAACAGGGTTGAATATTTCATCTTAAATCAGGCTTTACTCCCCTTGTGACAGGGGGAATGTAAGCTTGTTGTGTGCAACAGGGAGGGGCAATTGAATGCAAGCTTAACAAAACATTTGAACTTGTTAAAATATTTCTAGCCTATCTATCTATGGGTAACAGGGTTGACGTGGTATGCTCGAAACGCTCAGTTTTCCACCACAAAAGACCAGAAAAACCAGCTCACCTGCTTTTACACTATGATTTGACTATTATATGTGATTATTTTTTGTATCATTTAAAAAGGGATTGTTTTACCATATTAAAACAAGAGTTCAGTTCATGTTACAGGGTTGACCTGAAACCTGACTAATGTAAATGAATTACTAATGAATAACTAGGGCTTTACAATGTTTGTGCAAACTTGGGATAGTCTTGGGGTTAAGTGGGTTAAAATCGTCCTAGAAGTTGTACAAAGATGACGTGAGACATGCCAAAATTATTTGAATGAAAACACACTGCTATTGGAATCTTTAACATGGTTTAGTGTAGTTAGAGCATAGATGTATGTGATCCAACTGTAAAATTTTGTGTTTTATCCAAATTTACGCACAATGTCTGAAAGACGTAAGGCACTATTCGTGGCTCGACCCTATTATTATGTTAATTGTTGTATACATATTTATTTATTTTTATATATGTTTTTACCAGGTAAGTCACTGAGCACGCTATTTTACGCTAAAGGACCTGGTAACCATCTTTCTCCATTGGAATCTAATCAAGGATGAAGTACATGAAGCCAACACAAGTAGATGACTGAGTGTGTCCGTGTCTCCTATGTAGTGTTGAGTAAGAACAGTAAGCCGGTCCACACCACCATCCTTAATCCCCATGTGCACCTGATCGGGGAAGACGCGGCTTGCATCGCCTACATCCGCCTGACGCAGTACATCGACAGCCAGGGACGCCCGCGTTCCTGCCAGTCAGAGGAGACCCGCGTGTGGCACCGCCGCGACGCCAAGTGGCTCAACGTGCATTTTCACTGTTCAGGAGCGCCTGCCGCACCTCTCCAGTGAACCTTTACCAGACACAGGTACTGACTGCAGAGTTTTATTCTAGGTTCCGTCTACAGCTGAAGACGGAAGTTTACATACACCTTAGCCAAATACATTTAAACTCAGTTTTTCACAATTCCTGACATTTTATCCTAGTAAAAATTCCCTATCTTAGGTCAGTTAAGATCACCACTTTATTTTAAGAATGTGAAATGTCAGAATAATAGTAGAGAGAATTATTTATTTCAGCTTTTATTTATTTCATCACATTCCCAGTGGGTCAGAAGTTTACATATACTCAATTAGTAATTGGTAGCATTGCCTTTAAATTGTTTCACTTGGGTCAAATTTTTCGGGTAGCCTTCCACAAGCTTCCCACAATAAGTTGGGTGAATTTTGGCCCAATCCTGCTGACAGAGCTGGTGTAACTGAGTCAGGTTTGTAGGCCTCCTTGCTCGCACACGCTTTTTCAGTTCTGCCCACATATTTTCTATTGGATTGAGGTCAGGGCTTTGTTATGGCCACTCCAATACCTTGACTTTGTTGTCCTAAATACATTTTGCCACAACTTTGGAAGTATGCTTGGGGTCATTGTCGGGGTCATTGTCCATTTGGAAGACCCATTTGCGACCAAGCTTTAACTTCCTGACTGATGTCTTGAAATGTTGCTTCAATATATCCAGAAAATTTTCCTTCCTCATGATGCCATCTATTTTGTGAAGTGCACCAGTCCCTCCTGCAGCAAAGCACACCCACAGCATAATGCTGCCACCCCCGTGCTTCACGGTTGGGATGGTGTTCTTCGGCTTGCAAGCGTTCCCCTTTTTCCTCCAAACATAACGATGGTCAGTATGGCCAAACAGTTGTATTTTTGTTTCATCAGACCAGAGGACATTTCTCCAAAAGTATGATCTTTGTCCCCATGTGCAGTTGCAAACCGTAGTCTGTCTTTTTTATGGCGGTTTTGGAGCAGTGGCTTCTTCCTTGCTGAGCGGCCTTTCAGGTTATGTCGATATAGGACTCGTTTTACTGTGGATATAGATACTTTTGTACCTGTTTCCTCCAGCATCTTCACAAGGTCATTTGCTGTTGTTCTGGGATTGATTTGCACTTTTTGCACCAAAGTACGTTCATCTCTAGGAAACAGAACGTGTCTCCTTCCTGAGCGGTACGACGGCTGCATGGTCCCATGGTGTTTATACTTGCGTACTATTGTTTGTACAGATGAACGTGGTACCTTCAGTCATTTGGAAATTGCTCCCAAGGATGAACCAGACTTGTGGAGGTCTACAAAATTGGTGTTCTGAGGTCTTGGATGATTTCTTTTGATTTTCCCATGATGTCAAGCAAAGAGGCACTGAGTTTGAAGGTAGGCCTTGAAATACATCCACAGGTACACCTCCAATTTACTCAAATGATGTCAATTAGCCTATCAGAAGTTTCTAAAGCCATGACATCATTTTCTGGAATTTTCCAAGCTGTTTAAAGGCACAGTCAACTTAGTGTATGTAAACTTCTGACCCACTGGAATTGTGATACAGTGAAATAATCTGTCTGTAAACAATTGTTGGAAAAATTAGTTGTGTCATGCACAAAGTAGATGTCCTAACTGACTTGCCAAAACTATAGTTTGTTAACAAGACATTTGTGGAGTGGTTGAAAAACAAGTTTTATTGACTCCAACTGAAGTTTATGTAAACTTCCGACTTCAACTGTACATGTGTGCCCTCCCTCACATACATGTACTAAAGTGCTGATACATACTGTATCTTTTTGTTTATGTAAAAAAAACTCCCCAAGCCAAACCGTCATACCATAACGGTACACAGCCTACATATTGTCACCATATTACCCTTATAGTCAACAAACTAGAACTAATGAGTTAGTAAACCCACAATCAAATCCATGTGTACAATCACGCAGTACAGGGTACAGTTTAGCAGTTACACAGGCGGACCCCGATGGCAATGAATTAATAAAACCGAAAGCTTACCTTGACTTGGAAGAATTGCAGTGTTGGATAGCCTTAGCCAGCTAGCTAACATAAATAGCATTCCTCTCGGTTTGAGTCAGGTTGTTCAGTAGGCTAAATTAGCTGCATTAGCTTTAAAAAATACAACGAAATATAACTAGCTCTCTCAATCTCTGTTGCTCTCCTTAGTTTTTGAAGAAATTAATTTTGGTCAAAATTATTGTCTTTTCTTTGAGTCAATTACTCACCACATTTTATGCACTTTAGTGCTAACTAGCTGTAGCTTATGCTTTCAGTGCTAGATTCATTCTCTGATCCTTTAATTGGATGGACAACATAATAATAATAATATGCCATTTAGCAGACGCTTTTATCCAAAGCGACTTACAGTCATGCGTGCATACATTTTTATTTTGTGTGTATGGGTGGTCCCGGGGATCGAACCCACTACCTTGGTGTTACAAGCGCCGTGCTCTACCAGCTGAGCTACTGCAAGAGCTCTGATAGGTCGTCATAATTACTGTGTAAGTCTATGGAAGGGGTTGTAAACCATGAGCCCCCTAGGTTTTGTATTGAAGTCAATGTAGCCAGAAGAGGTCGGAAAATAGCTGTCCTCCGGCTACACCATGGTGCTACCCTAGAGGGTGCTGTTGAGGCTACTGTAGACCATTGCAAAACAGTGATTTTGTGACATTTATCTAAAAAATATAACTTTTTAAATGTTTCAATATAAAAAATTAAAAATGAAATTCACTGAGTAGGATGGTCCTCCTCTTCCTCCTCTGAGGAGCCTCCACTGCTGTATATAAACCTATTATAGTGATGTAAACTCAGGAGTAGTTTGGAGATTTACACACTCTTGACAGGCTGTCCTGTGCCCTCCCCACCACTCTCTCTCTCTCTTTTCCTCAGCTTTGCCTGAATTCTGAAGCCGATTGGAACATTTCTTCTCAGCGGTTGGATTGGCGCCAGGAGCCCGGCCAGAAGAGAACGCTTGAAGTTTACAATCCAAGGGGAAAAAAGAAAACAAAATAAAATATTTAAAAGCCGACCGACAACACCACCATAACCAATCCAGTCCAACCCTAGCTAGATGTTGGGGGCCGGCTGGGGCCGAGGCCCTCCCCTCCGGACGGTGCATGCTTCTGACGCCCAAAGAGCTATCTTGTCCTTTTTCCATGGATCCATATTTTTTGCCCATTGTTTGGAAAGGTGTTTAAAGTATTAACATATGTACAAAAAATATGAAATTATAAAAAAACATCACATTTAATCAACAGGTATGGGGGTTAAAATGATTAAAGAAAATAAATACGCATTTTCTAAAAACATAAATAAAATAAAAGGAGCACACACCCTAATATTAGTGGTGGTTGTTTTTTTGTTTTGTTTCACAATTAATCTAGTTTTCTTTCTTTTTTTGGATGCAAACAAATGCTAGGAGGGAAAATGTAAGAAAAAAACTCAATTATGTTACTTAGTATTAGAATTAAGAACACCAAAGTGTAGACTTTAGGACTCTTTTCTTTAAATACATTGTTTTAATGTAGATGTATGTTTTTTTGGGTCAGGTGGGTTTCAGAAGGGACAGTGTTTTAGTATTCTGATGTGTTATTATGGAACTCTTCATTTTTATCCCCATAATTATGCTTTATTTGAAAGTATTTTGTGTTTGAAGAGGATCATTTTTAAATGGGGGCTTTATTTAATAGAGTAATGTATACATAGATATTTATAAGGCGAAAGGGGAAAGACGCTTTACTTTCAGAGTTTGGGGAATGGATGTGTGTGTGAGTATGTGTGAGAGTGAAGGTGTGTTCTCCTGTCCCTATAGCTCCCTTTTCAGGCTCTTTTGCGGTTTGAGATCCCCTGTGTATATACACACACACTCTCACACATACGCACGCTCACACAAGGCCCAAACTCCAGGCCCCTGTGCTGTGCCCTTTGGGTCTATAAACCAGCCTGCTCATCCAGCTTCAGCCACAATCTCCTGACCAGCACAACCTGAAGTTGCAGAACACTACCATCGGTTTTCAGTGCTGAGTTTGCCATCTTCCTTTTGGCCTCTAGAGGGCACATGACACAATCAGTCAAGCCTACTGCTACTATTCTGACAGAGGCCCCAACCCACAAACTCTGAAAGCTCGGACACCTCTCCCTCATATCGTTTTCTACTATGATTTGAGCATGTTTGATCAAATTTCTTTTTTTGGGGGGGGGGATCTAAAATGGCCTGTACTGTTTTGCACATACATTTGAGACTAAATGCTGTTCTGTTCACTCCCCAGGTGAACGTTTCTGCAACTTCAGGTTAAGCTCACCCACTCCTGGGGTCTCTACCTGTGTTTCTATAGCGAGTGACCCTGTTAATCAGCTGTCTATATATTAGCGCCACTCAGTGTGACGATGATGTCAACTTTTGCCTATCTCTTGTTCTGGTCTCCGTCCTGTTCTCGAACATTGTATATTGTCTGTCTTCGCTTGCCGTACCTCTCTTTAAAATCATGTGAAAATGAGAATGCAGTAAAGTGGGGTGCTGAGTTGGCCCGTGGCTGGCGGTGGCATGTCAGACCTCTGGCTGGGCATAGGATTGGATGGGACGGGAAGTGGAGGCTGGGTGCTCGGCAGCCACGCTGAAGGCAATCAATGGATTGGTCCCTTTGTCACGGTTTCTGTTGTAACTGTTCTAGATGTTAGTGTTCTTACTGTTGGTATTATTATGAGTAATCTGAGTTGTTTCTTTTGAGATTGGAGCTGTAAATATGGAGAGGCAGTTGAGGTCGGGGATGGGGCTCAAGCTGCTAGCCAATCACACACCCCACACACACAATGCCACAATACACATATATGGAATCAACGCACACACATACAGTGTACTCCCAATGCAAATTATATTTGAATATATATGGACACAGACAAAAAAACAATCTCACTTTAAAAAACATATCTTTGTGATGATGGAAACTTGTGTGTGACTTTGTACCGTCAGCGGGGCGAAGCTTGCCGTTTACCCCTTCACTTCTGTGCTAAGCAGCTCCATAGTACTTGTGTACCATTGAATGTGTCGAAGGCCGGGCACTGAAAAAACAACAACCTACCGATGAGATATCAAAAATTATATCAAAACATGTTGAATGAAACATGTTAAAACAAAACTTGTGTGCTGTGTTTTTACCATGAGTAACGTGGCCCCGCCCACCCTACTGCTTGTGCTGCTGGGTGTTGTGACATATCTGCCATGAGACTGTGTTCCCCTTTGCACCATGATGCGATGTATACAATACTGAACTATGTGATGTTTTTTGGATCCGAGTAGTTTTCCTGACTGTGCGCTGTGGGCATTGGCCTCTCTCTCTCCCACCGGGCCTGATGCTTCCATTCATTGTGTGTTCACACAGCCATGGGAATGTTCATGTGAAAGAGTACAACCATGCAGTGTACTTCAACTCTTAAAAATAATTCAAAGGGAAGAAGAGGAGATAAATAGTAGTTACTGAGGTAAGGACAGTTAACCTTAGATGATACTATACCTAACTGGCCAGCAGGACAGGGAGAGAGCCTTGATATACTTACAAACTAATACTGAAAAATAAATATTAAAAGACTTTAATAAAAATATATATGCAGTTTTACAAGAGGAAGAAATATGCATGTCTACTTTCTGGTAATATTTTTTACTGTCTGTGTTTACTTGATTAAGAAATGGAAATCTATATATGTTACTTGCATCTTCAAGGTCAATGAAAATGGCTCCGTCTCAAATATTGAAATTAAGTGATGTATCACGTTTTTAAAAACTACAAAAAAAAGCCTTAGCTTGGTATGTTTCCCTTTATTTGTAAATGTACTGCATTGTAACCATATAGTAAGGGGCTACATATGACTATACTCGGAGTTGTCATTTGGATGCTGGATTTTTGCATGACCATACAATAAAGAACATCATTACTTTAAAACTATCAAGTGTTTGTTTGAATGTTAGTAGATCATCATAGCTTTGTTATTATTTAAACAAGAAACATTGAATAAAAATAACATTTCAACATAAGTTGTGTCCTGTTTCTCATTTTCTTGTGAGTGTGTGCTAGTCCATCCTTCTAGGATCTAAATGTTGCATCTTGTGTGTGTCAATAAATTACAGTTGCGTACATGACTTATTTCATATATTTTGGGTGCGTATATTTCATTATTCTGCTTGTTCATTCTAGCCTGTCTGACTAATCCCTGGGAGTCTATCCAGCTAAGGGACTTCAGAGATTGAGGTCAAGTCCCTTGTTAACACAACACTGTGATTAATGAACATGATCTGCCCATTTAACAGGTTTCCACTGATTCGTCGTGCTAGTGAGAGGATGATTAGATAGACATGTGAGATACCCTCTAATAAATGAGACTCGGTCGAATTATCCATTGAAAATATGCCTTCCCGAAAAGTATGATTACTAATGTACTGCAGACTATAATATGTACCTCTACTTCCTGTCTGTCAAACACCGTAGGCACTGCCGTTTCCATTCCAGTCTTCTGTAGACAGCATCAGACATGGGTAAATGACAATAGCTCCTGCATTGACAGGCATGCAGAAGCTGTGGGTAAAAAAAAAGACAAAGGAACAATCCATTCCAACCTCTGAGTTTATTAGAGACGATACAGCGTTGGTCTTTGTTTTGTAGTTTTTGCTAAATAAACAGAAAACAAAACAAGACAGCAGCTCCTGTTACGATGGACACTCACAGGCAGAGACCTAGAACCTCTCTTTTTCTATCTCTCTAGCTCATCCTCTTCTCTCTGACTGGCCCTATCTCTACACAGCTCTAAACTGGCTGGGTACCTATGTGAGAGTGAGGGAGAAAGTGCATGGTTAAAGTGTGTGGGTTTCTCTGTAGACTTGTGGGTCCTATAGTAGACCGTTTGTTTATCAGAATGTACTCCAATGGCCTCAGCTTTGGGGTAGGGGAATGCACAGTCTGAAGGAGCAGTGGCCTGAGATACACTACATCCATCCTACAGCACAAGTCTTTGTCCATAGCACTACAGTGTGCTGTCTTGTTTAGTCCATGTCTATTCTGTCACATTTTCCACCCATCCCCCACCCAAAATATACAACAGCTTTAAAATGTACAACGTTTTACAATCATTCTTCTGAAGAAATGAGAAGCGTGTGTGTGAGATGTGACCACGCGTATGTTGCGGGTTTATTCATGCACTCCAGGGCCACAAGATATCAGTTCCTGTTAAAGAGGGGGGTGACATGACATTAGACCCCCCCACCCCCTCTCAGTCTGCCAGACCCTGGCGTCAGTCAGTCCAACTGGCTGCAGGCTGAGACAAGTCCTCTACTTTCTGGATGAAGACAATGTGTGCGACTGCGAGGGGAAAGAGGGAGGGTTGTTTCCAACTCATTAACTCCCTTATTAGAGGCCATTATTTCCCTCCCGTGAGGATTGGTTACTACAGCGGCGTATCGGGCTGTCCTCCCGCTTTCTCTCCTCTTCCACCCTCTGTAGTGACTGGTGTTGGTAAACAGGGCCCTCTCTTTCCCTGGGCCAGGCCGGGCAGGGAAGTGCTCCAGTCCAGGCTGTGGTTCCTTAGGGAGGTCCAGTCTCAGCTCCAGCTGGAGCTCTGCAGCTCCTCTCTCAGCCAGGCGGGCAGGGGTTGGCCCAGCCGGTTCAGCAGCCTCAGCAGCTCCATGTTGTGCTCCCGGTAATGCTCCGTAAGGAAGGCACGCGACTGTAATACACACAACAGAGAAAAGTCAGCGAAGGACTGTATGAGGATAAAGTAATCCTTCTACCCCCCCTTACCCCACCCCCCCCCCCCCCTTTCCTTGAAAGATGGAGTCACTGTACCTCAGGGGTCATGTCAGAATATTTCCTGCCTTTACTCTTGCCCAAACACTTGGGTCGTGCTCCTTCCACCCTCTGGCACCAGAACCCTTTACTTTCATCATACGTCAGAGCCTGGGTGTAGTTGAAGATGGGTGTGACCCCCAGGAACCTCTGGATGCCCTCCATGACCAGGGCAGGGTTGGATCGCAGCTGGGACCCATCCACTATGTGGACCTGGAAACAGGAATCACACCTCTCACATACTGGACTCCACACAGGTAGTACTGCCATGATCAATCATTATAAAATACTGTGAAGCCATGTTTCTGAATGGATGCAGTTGAATTGTTCACGGGGGTGTCTCCTGTAGTTTTCAGTATCTAGCTGTGCTCTTATAGTATGTTTGTGTGTATTTCCAGTAATGTAATGTTACCTGGCTGGGTTGGTAGTGGTGTAGCCAGCGCTCCAGGTGTGTGGCATAGGCCCCAGGTTTAAGGCAGCGTCTCTGCAGGATGAGCAGCTCTCGGGGGGAGGCAGGCCCCGCTGTCACCACCTCCTGGAACGTGTGGTTAACGGCCATCGGGTCCTGGTGAGCCCGCTGGTGCTGCAGGGTCACACACAGGGGAAAGGTTAAAGGTCAGACATAATGAGTCAAAGGTTATCAGAGGTCAGACTTCAGAAGAATCAAGTATCAAGTGATTCTACAAGATAACTTTTACAGATGTTGTACCTTTGGCTTCTTGAGAATAAATACATGCAAATAAACAGGTGAAGTTAAAATAAAAACAGATGGCATTTCTTTGCTCTGGAGTGAGGCAGCCAATAGTATCTTCTGCATGTGGTCACTTAACGGTCTTGACAAATGGTCTGGGAACAGTTTATATTTCATGAACCTGATGGTTCATATTATGGCTGAGGTAATAATAATAATAATAATAATATGCCATTTAGCAGACGCTTTTATCCAAAGCGACTTACAGTCGTGCGTGCATACATTTTTGTGTATGGGTGGTCCCGGGGATCGAACCTACTACCTTGGCGTTACAAGCGCCGTGCTCTACCAGCTGAGCTACAGAGGACCAGGTAGTTAAGAGTGTGATAGACCCACATGGTACCAGGAGTAGGCGCGGTCCGCTGGGTTGATGAGTACGGCCAGGATCTTGGCCCGGGACAGCAGGGCAGCCGCTCTCTTAGGGGCTACCTCTGTGTCAAAGTAGTTGGCACTTTTCTCAAACATGAAATCTGTGCTGACATTCGATGGGAAGGGGAAGAAGTCCATGTACCTGAAGAGAGGAGGGGGGAGAGCAGTTAGGTTTACCGAGGGCCAGGGGAGAGCTTCTGTCATAAATGTCCTTTGAATGTCTTCCTGCGCCATGTCCCTTTCCACCTACGACCAAATGAACCATACTGTTATACATGCTCACTGATATGAGAGGAATAGATATGTGAGAGCAATATAGAGGAAGACTACACTACAAGTAAGCATGAAGGAACTATATTGAGGTAATGTTGAGGTGAGGTGCTACCATATGGATATCATATAGGTTCTTAGATCAGTTCAGACAAAAGGACGCTACAGGCTTCATTAGAGTGTTTAAAGCCTCAGAGTGGGCAGCAAAGTCGTCTTACCAGTCAATGCCGTTGTCGTAGTTGGGGCCGCTAAAGAACTGGATCTCCTCAAAGGTGACAGGACTGGGGAAGCTACTGGTGATGGCAGGGTGGAGGCTCAGGAACGAGTGCAGGGCTGTGGTGCCTGAATGAACACACATGAATATACACTTTGACTAAAACTCACCACCACAAACGCCATTATGCTACCCATTTTGGCAAAAAGAGTGTGTGGCGAGCGAGAGAGTGTAGATGTCTTAGGAAAATGGTTGGCTGCAGGGTCTCACCCGTTTTCTGTGGGCCTATGACCAGGAACCTGGGTAGTCTATCACAGGTCTTTTCTTTCGACCAGATGTCTTTATGTCTCTTGTCATGACATGGGTTCTGAGGACAGATAGAGAGGGGTTACGGTCTCCAATACATATAGCTAGCTAGCTCATCATTAAGTCATTTCATTGCAAAATAATATAAAATGATGGGCCAAACTTAATTACAATAATCTCAAGAAACAATAAAATAGAATAGGAAAAATAGGAAACAGTAGCTAACAACCAAATGGATTATCATGTCTATAATAATATTTGATCATTGCATTCCCTAACCTGCCAGAGGGGGTCTCTCTCCTCCGGGAAGATCTGGAAGTATTTGTCAGCTAGCTGCGTGGGGGGGAGTGTCTGCAGCTGCAAGTTGGTCCAACACTGAACAAACTTCACCAGGGACTCAAAGGTGTACAGGCCCAGCCGGTCATTTCCATAGTTAGACAGGTGGGTCATGAAGATGCTGATCTGGAGGGGGACAGAGGAGTCAGACACCATACCAACGGGTGAGTAGGGAAGGGAGACCTTTCACTGTTTGTCTATGCATCTTAAATGCACATTAAGCAAAATCCCAATTTGAGGCACTCGTGAAATAAAAATTTGTAGCACAGATTGACATCAATTAATGATTTACACAAAAGTCAAAGTTACAAGTCCTTTTCCCAAGCTAAGACTTTTCCAGAATGAAGTTTCTCAGGTCATTTAGAGCAGCGGCCTGAAGACGGTAGCAGCTCCAGTAAGGAGGCAGAGTATCTCCACAGCGAACTAGAACTTACAGGGTTGAGGAGGACGGTGAGGAACAGCTCTCCTCCCCTGATGCTCTTGTCCAGCTCTTTGGAGCCTCCTGGGTACTCGTTATAGAAGATGGTGTGAGTGAAGAGGCCACATGTCTGTCTGGGTAACACCTGCAGAGACAGAGGGAAACAGTCAGAAAAGACTGTAGGAACATCAATAAATAACTTTCTCTTCTTTCTAACCACCTTATTACCTTTGCATAAACTCTAAGCTCTTGAGTGCTCTCACTAAGCACTGAGGGGAAAATCCTAACTTCCGCTTAAGTCACATTTTCACTTAGTTATGCATTGATGTCAATGGGAGATCAAGTGAAAATTCAACTTAAATTGAAGTTTAAGACTCAGACCTAAATTATTTACTATTTCTAGCATCACTTAAAAGATAAGTTTACCTCAAATCCAAAAGTTCCCAAGTGATTCTATACATTGAAATTAGTTAGGTGGAGTTTGCCATCTCCTCTCTCTCTCCCTGCAGTCTAGATCTGGAAAGCTGCAAAAATAGGTTACGTGACTCATGATGCATCTTTGCGCACTGCTAGCTCTGCTCCGTTGTCAGTCAAAAAGCGATTGAGAAATCTGCGAATTGTGGACAAATTCTTTGTTTTATTGAAAGAATATGTCCAAATGAGCTATATAAAAAAATATATATATCTAAAGTGCTATCAGGTTTGAGTCAGGAAATATGTACGCAACAACAGCTAAGATGGGTAACAACTGCGCTTGTGCGCTCTCGTGGTGGAATCGCATTACGTAAAAACTGCATGTAAGGCCCTTATTCACAATCCCAGAAAGTGGTGGGCGTCACAATGTAATTTTATAAAAAATATTGCTTGATCTAATAAAGGATACGTGGGCTTTCCCATTGTATTGTTGTTTTGGTACATTTTCGTTGATTAAGGGAGCTCCAAAATGTAGCTGTTTCAGCATTACTCTGTGCTTTCTGTCACAGTGAGCCAGATAGTTCAACCGGATGTATAAACGTGAAGCATCCGGTTGGCATTTCCACTCACTACCAAATATGGTGATTTGAGGAAGCCCAGTGGCCGGCAGAATATGTAGCTAAATGGATTTTGGCTGACATTCTGCTTTTTTTCACATCGATTAATCATTTTATCTCCATACAGTTTCTGTTTCCAAAACTACAATCTGTAACAAACAGAGTGGACTGCGTTTTGTAGACTTTTCCCGTATGCCAAAGTTTTAATAAATTGTGTTGTTTAGAAACAGAGCAAGGGCAAATTGAATTATTGCACACGCGCACTTCACGGAGTAGGAGTTCCCTAACGGAAATATGCAAATAAATGCTAGATGCGCCAATAGGATTTCACTAGCTCGTGCTTGGCTCTGCCCACCTCCTTGCTTGTTCTGCCCACTATGATTAATTTGCTCCCATTGGAAACGACAGGCCCCGGTCTATCTTAGGTTAGTAGGTTTCTGTGGTGTATGGGCAGACAGAGAAAGTACAGAGCGTAGGTGAAAATCTTTTCTGGTTGACCGTGATTGGCTCAGGGTGCTGTCACTCATGGGGACACTATGTCACCGCAGCTCCTGCTGGGAGAGCTAGCCAGCAATAGCCCCTCTTCGGTGCTCCATTGATTTACAGTAGAAGTGACCGCCCAAGAAGGCTCATTGGCCACAGATAAATCAATGTCTTATGCATGGTAACTGAAGTGTCAACTTCATAGCTAGCTAGTTGTTTACCACGCACTGTTACCACGTCTTCAAGCTGGGTAGCTTAGCTAGCTGAAACACGTTGACTAGCTTAGCTATCTCCTAGAAAATACTTTTCTAACTTAGCATTATGAAGGAAATGTACAGATAAAACATCTCTGTGCTCATTAGCCACCTAAACTTTAAAATATGGCCATCCATTAAAATAAAGCAAGCTGGAAAAGAAGATTCAAGTTGAGTGGTTGGTGGTGGATCATGGAGCAGTGGTTAACTCCCTGTTCACCCACGACTGCGTAGCCACGCACGACTCAAACACTATCATCAAGTTCGCTGACGACGCGACGGCGGTAGGCCTGATCACCGGCGACGATGAGTTAGCCTACAGGGAGGAGGTCAGTGACCCTGCAGTGTGGTGCCAGAACAACAACCTCTCCCTCAACTTCCGCAAGACCGAGGAGCTGATCGTGGACTACAGGAAACGGGGGGGGGGGGGGGGGCGAGCATGCCCCCATCCACATCGACAGGGTGGCAGTGGAGCAGGTAGACAGCTTCAAGTTCCTCTGTGTCCAAATCACTAAAGACTTAAAATGGTCCAAACACAAACGCACAGTAAAGAAGGCGCGACAGTGCCTCTTCCCCCTCAGGTGGTTGAAAAAGTTTGGTATGGGCCCTCAAATCCTCAAAAGGTTCTACAGCTGTACCATTGAGAGCATATTGACTGGCTGCATCACTGCTTGGTATGGTAATAGCACCACCCTCGATCGCATGGCACTACGGAGGGTTGTGCGGACATCACTGGGGCCGAGCTCCCTGCCATCCAGGACCTCTATATCAGGTGGTGTGAAAAGAAGGCCTGGAAAATCGTTAAAGACTCCCAAGCCATAGACTATTTTCTCTGCTGCCGGTCAGCAAGAGGTACCGGTGCATCAAGTCTGACACCAACAGGCTCTTGAACAGCTTCTATCCCCAAGCAATACGACTGATAAATAGCTAACAAAATAGCTACACGGACTATGTGAGTTAACCTTGTGTCTTTATTGACCTTTTATAAAACAAATTGCACTGTCTCTATGCACACTCACAGGCCCCGACACACTCACACACACTGTCACTCCAACACAAACACTCACTCCATTATTTTCTCACTCACACATAATATGCACATACATTTATACTGACTCTACACACCCACTCACATACAAGCTGCTGCTACTATTTGTATCATATCCTGTTGCCTAGTCCCCTTACCCCTATACATATCTACCTCCATCACTCCAGTATCCCTGCACATTGTAAATATGGTCTTGGAACTGACTTTTAAAAAAGATTTCCTGTATATAGTCTGCTTACTTACTTAATTGTGTATTTCATATTTCATATTTCTCGTGTGTTTCTTTCTAGTAATACATTGTTATTGATTATTGGATTGTTGGGTTTTGAGTTACCAAGAAAGGCATTTCACTGTACTTGTGCATGTGACATTAAAACTTGAAACATCTGTTTTGAGGTAGGTTAGCTATAATTAAGCAATAAAGCCCGAGGGGTTGTGGTATTTGGCCAATATACCACGGCTAAGGGCTGTTCTTATGCATGACGCAACGCGGAGTGCCTGGACACAGCCCTTAGCCATTATATATTGGCCATATATCACAAACCCCTGAGGTGCCTTATTGCTATTATAAACTCTTTACCAACATAATTAGAGCAGTAAAAATACATGTTTTGTCATACCTGTGGTATACGGTCTGATATACCACGGCTATCAGCCAATAAGCATTCAGGGCTCGAACCACCCAGTTTATAATTAAGCAATAAGTCCCGAGGGGGTGTGGTATATGGCCAATATACCACGGCTAAGGGCTGTTCTTATGCACAACGCAACGTGGAGTGCCTGGACACAGCCCTTAGCCCTATGTAATCAGAACAGTAAACAAGTCATTTTGTGTCATACCCGTGGTATACGGTCTGCTTTACCACGGCTTTCAGCCAATCAGCATTCAGGGCTCGAACAAACCAGTTTATTATATCCTATAAAGTCATAATACCCATAAAACCTAGCGGTTAAACACGGAAATGGTTATTAATTTTTCCCATAGGCGATTTTAGAACCACTTAAAATAAGGGTTGTGTTTCCTGTAGGCTTACCCTGGCGTGACGTTTTGATAACTGTGTAAATCTCTCTCGGACAAGGTGACTTTTATCAATATATTCGCCTGTATTTACCCCCCCCCTCCCAAAATGAAATGCTAATTACAAATGCCTGTGCAAAGCTTCACGTCATTAACCAGGGCCATGATGATCTGCACGAGACTGCCGAATCGAGGCAAAGGTAATCTCTGGATAAACTATCTAATATTAGCTAAATTTAGTAATGAAAAACTAGCCTACATTTGTTTAAATTGATCATTCTGGGAACTGTCTTGGGCAAGTTTTTAATTTACAAAATACCTGTTATTTAGCTAGCTAGCAACATTAGTCTGACTAGATGGCTACATTAGCTGTCTAGCCATTTAAATGCAGGAGACATTCATAAAAACAAGTTTAGCTTTCTTTGGTTTTTATAAACCAACAGTCTAGCTTGCTAGTTAACTAGCTAGCTAACTTAAATGGTGAAGCTAGGCATTCTTAATAATTTTTGTTTGTGTCTATGGGTGAGGGGTGGGTAGCCTACTTCAAGTAACTAATTGACTTGTAGCTACCCTAGCTAACTGTATTATTTTGGTTTGGCTTTTTGAGAGGTTTCAGAGATGGACTGATTAGCATTCTCTCTTGAGTCAACAGTGTGCTTACTTTACTGCAGGAAGACATTGATCGGTTTGGGGTTACCCTCTGAACAGCAGATCATTAGTATGGCTAGTAAGCAAGGTTATCTAACCTTATTTAGCCCTACCAGCTATGGTGGTTTTAAAATTAATTGGTATTCACATGTTTGTTTTTGAGGTATAATTACTGTCATGTCATTGATTCCAAATTGCAAACCTTATCTGCACCTCGTCTATTCCAGCTCTAACACCCGACTTAAATAATCAACATAACAAATCACGGCGATAGGCTATGAATTGTAATCAGGTATGAGCTGGGTTGGAACAAAAGCTTATATACACTCCTGCCATTCAGATCTGGAGTTGTCCACCCTTTTAAGTAATTATTCAGCTTGCTTTATTTTTATGCCCCATGCATGGTCCCTCAACTTCGGACACTTTGGAACTCTCCATCTTATCTCTATAAACCCACCCTACCTTCGCCCATTTTCCCTATGCTGCTTCCTTCACTTGTTGCTCTCCTGATTGGATAACATCTAGACTCAGTAACACATTTAAAACGGTTGTGGTGTACTGTTTTTGCTACCTTTTTATCACCTGTGTAATGCAGTCCTCCTCCTGCTTATTCTGGAGTTCAGAATGAATGCAGCGGTAAATGTGCTGCTCACAATCCACAGCAGCAACACGGACCTG